CCCTGGACTGTCTATGTAGAGATGTGATATAAAGTGTTCCCCTGGACTGTCTCTGTAGAGATGTGATATAAAGTGTTCCCCTGGACTGTCTATGTAGAGATGTGATATAAAGCGTTTCCCTGGACTGTCTATGTAGAGATGTGATATAAAGTGTTTCCCTGGACTGTCTATGTAGATATGTGATATTAAGCGTTTCTTGATTTGTCTATGTAGATATGTGATATAAAGTGTTCCCCTCGACTGTCTATGTAGAGATGAGATATAAAGCGTTTCCTTGGACTGTCTATGTAGAGATGTGATATAAAGTGTTCCCCTGGACTGTCTATGTAGAGATATGATATAAAGTGTTTCCATGGACTGTCTATGTAGAGATGAGATATAAAGTGTTTCCCTGGACTGTCTATGTAGAGATGTAATTTAAAGTGTTCCCCTTGACTGTCTATGTAGATATATGAGATATAAAGCGTTTCCCTGGATTGTCTATGTAGATATGTGATGTAAACGTACACATTGACTGTCAATTTAGAGATGTGATAGAAAGGGTTTCCCTGGACTGTCTATGTAGAGATGTGATATAAAGGGTTTCCCTGGACTGTCTATGTAGAGATGTGATATCAAGTGTTCTCCTGGACTGTCTATGTAGAGATGTGATATTTAGCGTTCCCCTTGACTGTCTATGTAGAGATGAGATATACAGCGTTCCTTGAACTGTTTATGTGTAGAGATGTGAGTTGTGGAGATGGGAATTTTAGGTTACCTCACATGGGCATGGATAGCTTTACTTGTAATATATTTTTTAGTAGAGGAGATCCCTATTTTTTTATATTACAAGTAAAGCGATCCATGCCCCTGTGGTCACTAGTAACCCTTGAATATGCTGTTGATGCAAACATACCACATCCCCTGCTGCTTTTCACAGAATACGTCACAGAGCAGTGGGTATAGAATAGAAGGACCTCGGACTACCAACCATCTGGAAGCTTGGCACGGAAAACTGAAAAGAAGAGTACTGCATGTCCAGCCCAATATCTACACCATCACCCAGACGTTTAAAGACATACAGAACGTGAATGACATCAACCGGATCCAGAGAGATGCATGAGGAACTATTCAACCCCGAAAGAAGAGCTGCGCCGACATCGACAGTCGCCTGGCCTGGCCACCCTGAAAGACCGTTATCAGACTGGAACCACGACGACCTGATGACCTACATGAACGCCGATGCAGCATCACAGCTTCTGCATCTTGGATAGAATATTTTGTGCTAGAGACTGTAGATATATATATAGAGAATGTGATTTGTGCTAGAAACTTCAGCTTCATTTCGTGGTTTACTGTTGATATTTATGTTGAATAATTATCTTTTAGTGCTGTATTAAATGTGTATTACTGTTATATGCATGAATAGAAACTTTATTTTATTGTTGACATTAGTTAAAATCAACACTGTAAAAACGAAAGCATTACCTATTTCAAATATAGAACTGATATTAATTTTAATAACGTAAGTGTTGACTTCGTGGATAATTATATACACCCGGGAGTAGTGCTGGATAATAATTGTAAATGGAGTTACCACATTGATAATTTATGCCAAAAAGTTTCAAAAGAGGTAGGTGTACTGCGCAAACTAAAATATATATTAAATAGTAGACCAACTCTAAGTAAAATATATAGATCCTGTTTTCTTTTATTACCAGAATACTGTTGCGAGGTATGGGATGGGTGTAAACTTCAACTTGAGTCTGCACGGATAATCACGGGTTTACCCTCTTATTCTAGCAGATAATCTTTATACTCTGAAAGTGGATTCGAACCATTATCTCAGAGAAAATCTGGGAGAAAACTTGAACAGTTACTATTCTACAAAATTCACAATAATTTCACACCAACCTGTCATACTTTACTGACTCCTCTTGTCTCAGAAAATTCACAATACAACCTCCGTAATGCCGATAATTATTCTCTACCTAATTTCCGACTTCAACTTTCAAACTCATCCTTTTTCCCTTCTACAATCTGACTTTGGAACTAATTAGACCTAGACCTAAGACATAGAGTTTCACACACAGCGTTTAAGAATTCTTTCCTAAATCTTTTTACAAGTTCCAAATTATTATCTGATTGGCGATAGAAAACTAAATATTTTACATACCAGATTAAGAAACCGAGCTAGTACCAATCATTTAATAAATTTCCGACACTGTCAATGTGGTCATCCCGTTGAAGATACTTATCATTTCTTTTTTGCTTCTAACAATTATGAAGAACAAAGAATTAAATATATCGTGAACTGAACTATTTCATTCCTCTGGACCTGCAGCTGATACTTTTTGGTAGTTTGGAATTAAGCCAACAGGAAAATGAAATAATATTTCAACACACTCGGCAATATATTCTAGATTCACAAAGATTTTGATATATACATAAATAGGACAACCTGTGCCCAATCCCCTTTGTATAAAAAATGGTTTGAATCAATTACCCTCAGAGCACGCAGCTATACATGTAGGTTGTCTTCAGATGAAAACTTTTTTTTAAATCATTTTAAATATGAGACAGAATAAAAGAACTGAAATTATTTTACAATTTTCTTTAGTCATGTGAGGTTAAATTATATATCCTTATTTCGCAATAGTTAAATAATTTAAATACAATTGATTTGCTTTGTTTCCAAACGCGCACCTGCTGTGTGGGAGTGTGACGTCACCCAGGTAATTGTCATCGATACATATCCAGTTTGGCATGCGCGGAAGTGAGGTCAAACTTCCGGCTAGCCGTCAAACTACAAAACTTTTAAGTGATGAAGTGATAATGTTGACAAGTGTTAGTTGGAGAGATTTTAGATAAGCAAACGTTCTCCGATGTCTAAGATCCAACTGGAAGTAACAACATGAGTAAAGTATGTCATATTTTTGATTGACTCGTCGATAGGTATTAATTAAGTGTCTCGAAGAGCAAGATAATGGTGAGTAAAATAGAAACCTGTTGATTTCCGGGTGGCTGTGTTCGTATGGTGCTGCACGCTACATAGCTGTGTGTATATTACAGTAGCTCACATGTGTGGTAATGTATCTAGCATGTAACATAAATAGCTGTTTTGTTTCAACAACTCGTAGTTTGTGTGTTTGTCTGTAGTAATGGCACATGTCCTTATGTCTGTTATATTAGCTGATAGCATGAAGTAAACAGGTATATGCAGGTGTGTAATATACAGGTCGGGGAAAACCACTAACTTGCGTATAATACGCAAACTCGCCTATTGTACGCCAAAAGGGGTATGGATTTGTTACTAAAAATAGCCAAAATCACTTTAATCTTAACTTTTTCAAAGTGTTTGTCCAAGTCGCATTTATTCAGTCATGAAACATAATACAAATGCAACAATACACTTTATTTGCATGTGGGAAAGGGTGATTCTGGGAAAGTACCAAAATAGATGCAATAATTCCTGTTAAGTTACATAAAGTTTCTAAGTAGCCAACACTTTCAGTAAACATCTTGTAGCAAAATATTATTACCTTGTCCAAAATAAATGGATTTTTAATAATATCTTGCAAAAGTTAATGTTAAAGCGATTTGTGTTAATTTGAAGTAACAAATCCATACTCCAACTGGCGTAATAAATAGGCGAGTTTGCGTATTATACGCAAGTTGGTGGTTTTCCCCAGGCTGATAATTACTAATAATGTTATAGCAGAGACGTATTTTCTATTATTGGTTTGGTTATATTGGATATGTTTACAATTCTGAATTATACACATGCTAGATATCCATATGAAAGGCATGCTCGCTATCAGAATTGGCGTTTATTGACATGTTTTACCAACATAAACAAGGAGTTGAAATCTTGTGTAAACTATATGGGTTTAATTCAACTAGTGTAGGTATTCAGTGATAATGAATTTAATCCTGCATTATAATATCATGTCTTAGTAATCCCGTTCGCCCCAGGTTGTTTCGCCCTAAAAAATTTTTTTTTCTTTAAGTCATAAATATCATGTTAAAAGTTAAAAAAACTTATCTTTCTCTTGAATCAAGATATAATTACGTGCCGGAAGGTGAAGAACGAACCTGTATATTCATCACCGAATCCTACAACGGACATACTAATATCCGGAATATATACTGTATATTATCGTTTTCATTTCTTTACCTTAATTAAGTAATGTTGTTCTTTATAAAATGCACCTGTATATATTTTAACGTTAAAAATATTTAAAACATGATATAAACAATTAAAAAGCACCCTGTCACGTCAGCCATTTTATATAAAACAAATTTCTCTTAGTACATAGATACGTATACGAAATGGACATAGATTAGGTACAAATTGCGTATAAGAATGAAAAGAAATTAATACTTTAATTATATATATCTATAATATATAGATAAGATATGGACATATAATGAAACTAAATTAATTTCTCTAAGTACATAGATACGTATACGAAATGGACATAGATTAGTTACAAATTGCGTATATAGACTGAAACTACATACGTATATTAATTGCGTATAAGGATGAAAAAAAAAAATTTTCTCTAGAGAAGTATACGAAATGTAAATAATTCCCCAAGTACATAGATACGTATTTTAATTGTTAAGCAGATGTGTACATTTGAATTATGAAATAAACGTTGGCAATTTACTTAGGGAATTATCAAAATACATTAAATATACTTGTATAATAATGTACTTGTCAGTCTGGCAGGTTCTATGCTGCCAGGTTCTATGCTGCCAACAGTCACACACATCACTTCAGATACCATGCTGTCTGCGTCTAACCACGGAGTCGCACAAAATGCACAAATCATCCATAACGTAAATTACGTTATGGATGATTTGTGCATTTTGTAACTTGTCATAAATAGAGCATTTCTCAGTACTGTGTTATAATTCAACATTACTAATGTTGAATTATAACACAGTATTGAGAAATGCTCTATTTATGACAAGTTACCTACTCAAAATTATCTACTCAAATATGCATATTAATTTTTATTGGTCGGTACTATCACGGACTTAAATCTAATTCCGTGGTACTATCAAAACTTCTCAAAATGGACATAATCTCCAATTAGCAAAAAACAACACGGACGTGTGCAGAAATCAAGTAAAGAAAACATCGTCACACGGCGACGAGTATGCGTACAGCCGTACACTAAACTAATTTAAATGTGTTAATATGGAAATAATATTGGTGTATACCCCGCAATTTTTTAAATTACACCATTTTTGTTTCATTTCACTATTCTTACTTATTTCTAAAATTAAATTCAATATATGTTATAATGTGTGTCGGCGTTAAGAAAATAACGTAATCCGTTTTTTTTTGCTTTACAATGTACTTAAAACAACACAAACACATTTTTTTTTAAAAATAAAACTGATTTTATTGATATGAAAGACTAAGAAGTCTTAATTTGTGACTTAAAACAAATAAAAATGAAAAGAAAATACCAAACAATGTTTCGCCCTAAAAAAAATGTTTCAGGGCGAAACAACCTGGCGCGAAACAACCTAGGGCGAACGGGATTTGGGGCAAAACAACCTGGAACCTAGTAACACTATATGAGTGTTTTCAAGTGACAATGAATATTCATTTGAATTCCCCCAATTATTTTTAAGTACCATCTTAATCTTAATCATGAATGATCAAAACTGCCTAATAATCTACTGTGATAATATACTATGCAGTTTTTGAAACACAGAGTGCTACATCACAGGAACTTTAAATATTTATTATATGTAACAGTATATGACTAAATGTCATCATACACAGAGCTGAATAAAATTTAGCTAAAAGGATATAGATGACAAATTTCTATTTCCTATAAAGTTTCTAAATGAGGTCGAGGTCATATAACCTGGTAGTGTTATGTAACATGGTAATACAGCTAACTGTACATTATACACATGACAATATGTTAAAGACTGTGTTGTTTAATGATGTACTGTAACAGAAGAGCTACCTGGACGCTAACAATTGACCCAGTTCAGTTTGGTTATTTTCCTCCCCCATTTTTCTAAGTCTTTGTCTCCGAAGGCATCACTTCTTACAACCCATGTTCAAGTGACCCCTTGTCAAGCGTACATCAATTCCAACAAGTGTTGGGCATGGTATACGTACCACTGTAGGAGGAGAAGAAAAATGCCTGGGACCTCCGAATTCTAAACAAATACTTTTTTTTTTCCAAGATTTTCAGAACAGGTACATTATACAGAACATACATCCACACATTCACACATATCAACTATTGAAATTATCATCCTCCTCATCCTTATCATCCCCCTCATCCTTATCATCATCATCATCCTTATCATCCCCCTCATCCTTATCATCCCCCTCATCCTTATCATCCCCCTCATCCCCCTCATCCTTATCATCCCCCTCATCTTTATCATCATCATCATCCTTATCATCATCATCATCCTTATCATCCCCCTCATCCCCCTCATCCTTATCATCCCCTCATCCTTATCATCATCATCATCATCATTCTCATCATCATCCTCATCATCATATAACGGATAATAATTTGAGAACAGCTTTGAGACGAGCTACGAACTAGGTTGTGATAAAGCGGTATATAAGAACCTCCAATTATTATTATTATTATTATTATCATCCTCATCATCTGATGATGATTTTATACACTCACCAAGTCCCATTCAATTTTCACGCACTTTCACACATAGAGAGACAAAACAAATGGACAAAGAGCACTAAGAGAGAGAGGGAAAGAGAGAGAGATCAGACTGCCAAATTTGAGAAGAAAATAAATAAAATAAATAACTGCTGTGAGTATTTAAACAAATACTCTTACCAATTGGACTACTAGGTTGCCAGAGATCCATCCAGTTCTGAGTGACTACAATAACATTATAATGCTGATATTATGAAATATTTGAATGTCAAAATAAAAAGAAATCTTGCATTTCATTTCATCTGTTTTGTCAAACCAATATAATTCAGATATCATTTCTGAAATCTATTGAGGATTCAGATTTTGCTTTAGACAACTATAAAGTTGTAAAGTTTTGGAGCGTGTTCATGGAGGTTGGAAGTTGTGCTCTGTGTGTCATCAAGGTTTGAAGTTGTGCTCGGGTGTCATGGAAATGTGAAGTTGTGACTTCGTTTCATGCAGGTTTGAACTTTGAAGTTGTGCTTGGTGTCATGAAATTTCATTTAGAACTGATGTGACGCATAGATAGACGTATTGCAGAATATAGCCAGTAAAATAAATCAGGAAGGTCTTTACACAGATTTAACTTATTTTATATTCAATCCTGTTCACCAGTTAAAGTGCATGCATGGGTACAACAATTTACAGATCTGGCATTTGAGTTGAATTATCTCGGTGACTGATGGCAGGACAAACAGAACATCACTCTGTACAGTGTCTACTGTTACATTGTCTGCTACGTATATACAATGTACTTTCGCATGCAGAATGATATGTTAGAGCGGCCTAATTATATAATAGCATGTTTTTCCAATTATAAATTTTGATAAGAAATCAATTGACTACAACATAACAGAATCCAAATAATTGATTGAGACATTCTATAATAAATTAATCAGTTGAAACTATTTCATTTTAATTTCTCCTGAAACTGTCATAAGAGGTTACTGAAAGTCTGCTATACGCTATACAAAGACTTTTTAGAATAATTTTAAGATTGAAATTAAAAACAAGCAGGTGTTGTGAAGTTGGTATTGCCTGATGTTTATAGAAGTAAGACATTAACATTTTGTGTGTATGGAATTGAAAACATGATTCAGAGATACAGTTTCTGTTAAAAGCAACATTTTTGAGTAGTGTTATGAGGAATGGTACAGAGTTGCTCAGAAACTGTTTGATTTGTATAATTACATGCAAACAAAGCTAGCGGGTA